GAGCCTGGCTCTGGGACTTGCAGCCCCAGGCCAAGACGGGGAAATGACAGCTGTTAGCTGTTCCCGGTCTCTGGTGCTTGTTTATAAAGCGTCCCTGTACCTCAGGGTGAGAAAGTCTCCCCACCACGGGCTAAGGAAGGAGTCTCCACACCGTGGGGGTAGGAAAGGAGATGAGCAGATCACCCATAACTGGACCAGCGCTGAGGCACCCCGGTGACACCTGGTTCCAAAAGCCACTGGCAGGAGAGCCCTCTCTGCTGCAGGTGCAGAGGAGCTGAGTGTTCCAGGCCTGGTACTGAAGCACTCCACGGGCTTGGTGTTCCCAGAAGTCCGCTGAGTACTGGTGCTCAGATTCCCTGCCCAGCACCAGGGCAAAGCAACCGCTCAGGGCTCCAGGCAGCGAGTGAGTGAGGTCTGTGCGGGTGGCCTCTCTGAAAATACCAACACACGTGCTATCCACGCAGCCACGGCCCAGGCCTGCAAAGGATGTCCAGCTGCATGGCACACGAGACGACGGTGCCCAAGGGCTCACCATGGTGGGAAACAGTCCGAAAAATTCTTCCTGTTATCTGTGATTCTGAACTTGAGATAATTTTCCCCATGGGGTCAACCTTCATACCTTTTGATTGGAAGGCTAGAATTGTGAGTGAAGAAACCAGGACAGAAATCCGGCACTGGTAGTTTCTCCACTGGGGTGTGAATTTTTACTGTCAGTGCAGGGATGTGAAACCTTCATGCAGGCCTGCATTTCAGTGGACAAATCTCAGCAGTTCAACTGTAACAGTTATGAAGAAATTTGTTAGCTTTTTCTGGACAATGCCATTATTTGGATTTAAAAAAACAACCCAGTACATTTCGTTTTTGGATGCAACTAAGTGGGCTTGGAGCACTGACAATAGAGCAGGACGCAGCTGTTCCCTGCTGTCACTGCCCACCTGTCCTGCATGCGAGCTCAGGCTGCAGGTGCTGTCTGTCCTCTGCGCTGTCTTGCTAAGCTTGCTGACGATGTTAAGCTAAAGAAGGTGTGGGTGTAGGGTACCTGGGGGACTAAGTGACCAGGGGGACGAGACCAGGCTGGGGAGGGGACAGCGCGGCTGGATGGCCTGGCCGGGGGAGGGGCCCAGTGCCTGACAAGTCCCCAGCTTGGGGTGTCCCTGAGTGTCCACAGAATGGGGGGGTCCACTTAGTGCCCTATTAAGTCCTCTGTAAATCCAGTCCCGACCCAGTCCAAATACTGTGACTAATGATTAAGTTGTAAAGTCAACCTCAGCAAACTTCACAAAAACGAACCACAACTGTTATTTTAGGAGCAATAACTTTACTCTAATTATTAAAGAACTGCAAGTCACCAAGGGCCCGAGGGAGTAGGTCAGCGTTAGAGCAATGCTTGTCATGCCTAAGGCCCTGAGCTCCATCCCTGGCAGCAAAAAGTGAAATAAAACAATGAAAATGACTAAAGTACCACAGAGAGTACTATGGGGAGGCACTTTGTTTCCTACAGCTTAGGGGACAAGAGCAGAACATGGAGTAGCACAAGTTTGGCACAGCATGGAAGTTCCTCACAAAATTAATAACACGGTTGCCATGCAATGTGGCAAATCTACCTGGGGATACCGACTCAAAATCACTAAACGCAGGGAGTGGTGGAAGAAGCATTTCAGCACACGTTCATCCTGCATCATTCACAAGGGCTGCAAGGGGAGCCGCTCCGGGAGTCCTCGCCAGATGACAGGATGAGCAGAAGGCAGGCCTGCGTGCAGCAGAACGTGAGTCACCCGAGGGAGAGAGGGGGCACCGGTATTGCTAAGACATGGAGGTTCTTAAGAGCAGTGCAAAGTGAGAGAAGCCAGGCTCAGACACATGAATATTGCTTGCTTCAGGGTAGATGAGCTGCTTCCAGGAGTCAAAATGGCGGAGACGGAAAGCATGGCGGTTGGCGGGGAGTGGGAATGCGTGGTGAGGCACTGGTATTTAATGGGTATTGAGGTTCAGTTCTACAAAATGCCAAGGGTTCTGGGTAACGGTGGACATAATTCACACTACTGGACCACACACATAAACACAGTTAGGATGGTAACTTTTGTGTTACGTGATCACCAATATTTAAACAAAGCAAATCAGAGTGAGACCCTCTGAACAGTCTGGCAGAAGAGCCCCCGGGGAGTGAGGATCTCCGGGCTCAGGGAAGATTCTGCTGCCTGAGAGCCGACCCGGACTGGGGCAGGACCCGCTGCTCTGGGTCTCTGGAGGGACCACGGCAGCTGGTTCCCGCGCTGGGCGCCGCTAGAGGGAGGCCTGCGGGTGAAGAATGGTGGCGAGGGGAGGGAGGGAGGTTTGTGTGTGTGTGTGTGTGTATGTGTGTACTGTTTGGCTGTCCTTGGAGCTGTCTTCTCAGTCATGTTGGAGCCACAGCGGGCCATCCCCTTTCTCCGGCGTCACCTCCCGTGAGCCGCCATCTCTGTGACAGAGGGTGGAGATGAGGGGCTCTGTGGCCACTCTGAGGACACTCTGTGGCCAACTGTTGGGATAAAACCTGCGCAGGATCCGCACCGTCCTCCCTAGCTGCCTGTGGCCTCGCAGTACCCGCCAGGCCCACAGCCCAGACCACCCCGTGCTCCTCCGGCTGCGCGTCCCTCGGCTGCTGGCTGAGAGGGTGTGCGTCGTGTCCGTGGTAAGGGCCGGGCTTGGTCACCCTCCTGTTGCCGAGAAACAGTGCCAGACACTTGCCTTGGAGCAGAGAGGGTCATGTGGGCTCACAGTCCCGTTCACAGTTGAGGGGCTCCCGGGCAGACGCAGGGCCTGGTGGAAGGGAGCTGGCTGCTCCCCACGTGTGCTCAGGAAGCAGAGCCAAGGGAGTTGCCAGACAGGGCGCGTCCCCTCCCGGGTCACATCTCTGTGACCCTCACTTCCAAACAGGCCCCAGTTCTAAACCCCAGAATCCAGTCACCCTCCAAGCCCCGCCTACGCACCCGTGGGGCTCTCGGGGACATCCTGATGGAAACCGGAACAGTGCCATGCAAACACCGGTTATGGTTGTCGCTGCCTCCTGAAACTCCTGTTCTGCTTGTCTGAGTGCTGTGAAAAGCTCGCTGGGGAGCTCGCTGAGCACTGCTGTGTCGTTTGGGAACTGGTCACTAGGTGCTGCTGTTCGATAACGTTTTCAGTACCGCCCCCTCCACACACAGATGCAGCTGGGGTTGTTCTGTGCGCAGAGGTCGGATGACTTTTCTCTCCGATGTAGGGAATTACCTACCTACCGTGGCTCACAGCCTGTGCAGTGAGATGACCCAAGGTCACGAGCGGGAGGCTGACTGCCTTCCTCTCCGCTTCCTCCTTCCTGCTGCATGTCCCGATATCAACAACTGTGTTTCCCCGCAGGGCCTGCAATACGGATATCGCTTCGGTTCCCACTTCCCCTGCGACAGGATTGTGTGAGCCGCTGTGTGTGGCAGGCATGGAGCCAGGCTCTGGGGACCCAGGAGGGAATAAATAGGAGGTGTCTGGCCCCTGCGAGCTTGCTCTGATGGCTCCGTCTTGGACCACAGGCCCACATTTCCCACCTTCTGCTGCAAAGTACGCTAGAGCTCAGAGTCCTCTGTCCTACCTGAGCGGCAGGCAGGTGCTCACCTGCTGTCACATCGCCAGCTCATCCTGAGCAAGGTCATGGCGAGAGAGCAAGCTTTCCGTTCTGTGACCTCACCACACTCACAAGCTGCAGTTTTCTTCAGCTGCTCCCTGTCCTTTTGTCCTACTCCAACCTAATGTCACACGCAAGCTTTGGTGTGGGGCTTCCTCCTCCCGTCCTTCCCCAAAGCCGCCACCCGCATGCACTCTTCAGTCCCCCTCAGGGCCACATGCAGGCTCCTAGCTGGCTTTCCCACCTCCCTTCCTTAACCTCCAGCAAAGCTGCCTCTGGGCCCACGGTAAGTCCCGGCAAGGGTGCTTCCTGTCAAGGGTGCTTCCCGTCAGGGGTGCTTGGAAGGTCTGAAGCCCCCTCTTTAGCACCCATCATTGGCTTCAACCTACACAGCGTGTACTCTGCCTCTAGTCAGCAGAAATGCCAACCAGTAGTACTGGTGTGCCCGCTCTGGGCCAGGGCTCTCCCTTTATGATCAGCAATGGACAGTCTTGAAGCAGGTGTTGGTGACTGAGTTGTGTCTTCCCAGGTCCCTGCACGGAAGCCCTGCCACCAGCAAGGAGAGAGACCTTAGGGAAACCACAGGGGCCCCACCTTGGTCTGGGCCTTCACCCCTGAGAACTGTGAGAAATAGGTTTCTGCTGTTTCAGGCACTCGGCCTGTGGTATCTGGTTAATTAGCCAAGAAAACCAATGGGCACAGTAAGGGAGACGCAGTTTGGGGCAGTGTTGTGGCCAGGCCTCAGGCCTGGGGGGAGGAGGTCATCGCGTCACTTCTCTGGGCGCCTGGTGCATCGTTACTGTCACGTCACTCAGTCCCCGGCTAACTGCCCAGCGGCATCCAGCTCTCGGCCAGCCAGACCGCTGCTCTTGGTCCTCTCTCTGCTGTCAAAATCCCAGCAGCCCTTGGGGCCAGCCCGGCGCCCTTCTCCCCAGGGCCTCTGTCCGGAGCAAACTTGCCGCAGTCCGGCTGCAACAGGTCTAGGAGATTCCTGCAGGAGGGAACTACACGGCGAAGAGACAAACAACACAGACACCAGAGGTCCTTCTGGTGGGCCAGGGGAGCAAGGCTCCTCTGACACAGAGAAATGTTTTTGCCTTTATTATATACTTTTGCAATTACATATGAAACTCTTAGAAACAATGAGGTTTCTATTATAGTTACAGATTCAGACATGGTTGACTGACTGTCCGGCCGCAACCCTAGCAGGAAATCAACTTTTCTAAAGCACATAAAAGGAAGCAAGAAGATCAATCACTAGGTGTTCTCGATTAGGTATAATTTTTCATAGAATTGTTTATTTGTCTCCTGGACAACGGGACCCACAGTTACAATACCTCCCCCTAGAGCCGGTCCAGCGCACACAGGGCCCTCGCCTAAAGTTTTCCCGTGCACTGAGGCCTGCGCAGCGCTTCCCTCCCGTTCCAGTGGGCGAACATTGCCACACAGGAGGTAGGGGACTGATGCAAACCTCTGTGGTGGCTTCTACTTCCCCTTTCAGCCCTGGAGGGTGCCTTTCATCCTGGGCTCTGATTCCTTAACTACTTTCAGTTCGGATCCTTCAGGTTCCCAGCCATCCTTTATCGTAGCACAATGAATATTTGGAAAGCTGTGATTAATAGAGAGTAGAGGGAGAGGCCGCCCACCTGTCCCATGTAGGCCCTGCTTTGCAGGCACCCGCTGTCGGTCCTGACTTTGTCAAGGAGCTGGCACTGGAAGGTCTCCGGCACAAACTCACTTTGCCTTGGTGTGTGTCTTTCCTATCATCCTCATGCTCTGTGGCTTTATTGGTGATTTTTCATATTTTAATTTTTTTGTTTAGAAATTAACTAATTATTGCCAGGGATAGATATAGCTTAGTGGCATAGTGCCTGCCTGGCAAGTGCAAGGTTGTGAGTTCGATTCCCAGCACCAAATAAAATAAAATAAAATAAAATAATAAAAATTAATTAATTGACTATTTTGACATAGAATCTCTCTCTATTTCCCTAGGCCCAAGAGAGCTTCCCACCTCAGCGTCTGAGTGACTGGCACTACAGACTTTAGCCTCCACCCCAGTGACGGTTTGTATTTTTTATACAATTTTAAGTGCCCATGGGATGGAAATGTCTTTCCCTCATGTATCTAAGACTTGTGCTGCTTATTACTGAGACCTGCATGTAGTAGGTGCTCATAAATATTTATTTAATTTGAACAAGGGAAAAGTTCTGAGATAAAGACAGTTATTGCTTGAAATTTCATTGAGAATATATTGTTTGTTTTCTTCTCAAAAAAATTACTAGGTGCTTTTCTTGCAAATTATGGATCCAAAGGACGGAGTGAGGATGCGCCGGCGATCCCAGCTGTCTTCAAATCCTGGCTACATGACCCCATGCTGAGTCTGAGCACAGCGACTCAGAGTCCGCCTTCAGCCCCCACGTCAGGACCGTAGGAACCGGGACAGTGAGCACCAAGAGCTGACGTCAGACTTTGGCCTCTGGAGGATGAGACTCTGTCCCAGAGGAGTGACAACCCCCGCCCCCACCCTGTGCGGGTGCGTCTGTGCTAGGGTCCAGCCCCCCCAGAACTTCGGGAAGCCCAGAGCGTGGCTTCAGAATCCCTCACTCTGTCCTGACCCCAAATACTCTCAAGCCCAACTGAAAGGGAAAAACTGTACCAGAAAATTGTTCCTTAAAGAAAACTTTGTTCCTTTGAAGCTGCCTGGCTCTGCAATGGCTTCCTGGCTTCGTAATTACTTTCTTGACCCCTGTGACCATGAGCATGTAACTGAACATGCAGGATGCCTGACTGTAACTGATGATCGTGAATCTGGCTTTGTAACCAGTGATCTCACCCTGCTAGCTCATCAGGAGAACTGCCAGGCTGTTCCGTCTCACTCTTGCACCTCCTGCTTGTGCATCATATAAAAGCCCTAGACCACCAGAGATCAGGGCCTGATACTTCAGGGGTGACCCTGACCAGTGCCTGCTGACGTAAATAAATCTGCCTCCAGAGCCTGGTGTCCTCTCGGAGTTCCTGCTGGCCATTGCACAGTGTCTTCCTGTTCTTTTCTATCTCTCAGCTGAGCCCTTAACTGCAGCAGTATAATTAAAATATCCCTGAAAACCTGGGGAGCTCAGGCCTGAGCAAACCTGGGATTCGTAGGAAGACACCTGCTCCTGTCTTCAGAGCCCCTGGTCACCGCGGAGAGGAAAGGAGCAGAGACAGTGGAAGGGTGGGGGACGCGAGTCAGCGATGGGAGCACCCAGACAAGGGGTCGGCACCAGAATCCCTCTGAAGGGAATTAACAGAGAGCCGCAGACAGCACCGCTCAGCACCTGCAGGCAAGCAGGGGTGACACAGCAACACAGGCCCCCAGAAGACCCACAGTAAAGAGCAACAGGAGCCGTGGGGGCTCAGACCAGGCCCCAAGAAGGGGCAGCCAGCAAGTCAGTCCTCAGAGAAGGCTGGGGAGGGGAGACATGAGTGACAGCGGCTCTCATGTGGGACCTAGGGGACACCCACATGCAGCAGTTCCCCTCAGCCTTCCCTCAACACTCCTAATGAGTGCCATCCAGGATCAGCTCTTTTTCTTTTTAATTTATTTAAAAGAGTAAAATAAGGACAACATAGCAATAGGGGGATTTATTGAATTACAGGCAAAGCAGTAGGACATTGTCAATGGTTGTTATTGTACCTATGGGTATCTTCAAGATAGTTTCTCAGGAAAACAAATATACAAGTAATAGTGAGTTACAGACAAAAGTGGTAGGAAATTATCAATGGTTGTTGTAGTATACTTTGGTTTCTTCAAAGTGGTTTCTAGGGAAAACAAATAGAGCTATACATGAGTGATAAACTAAATAATCATTGACTATTCTCAATGGTTGTTGTTGCAAACACATAGTAATAAACATACATCCATTTACGAAATAGCATAGGAACAATACAAACATTACAGAGTTATGGGTAGATTGGTAGGAATTTATCAATGGCTGCTGTAATACATGTTGGTATCTTCAAAGCGGTTTCTCAGGAAAACAGATATGCAAAAAAGATCTAACAAGTAGTTACAGCTTCAGGGTTGTGAAAAATAGCGGATTACCTCATCAGTGACTCCTTTCACTGAGGTGTGATGGCTGGAAGGCCATGACTGAAAAGAAGGACCGAGAGACTAGCACCAGTGTCCAGCAATAGGCTGTTTACTTTTTCCTCTATAGTTATGATTACGCAGGGCTCCTCCTTGGAGATAACAGTCTGGCCAGAGGGAGAAGCAGAGTATGCCCTGGGCCCCTTCATTCCTGTTGAACCAGCTGGTAGGAGGGGTCTGAGCTCTCAGGCCTTCACTTCAGAGGGCAGTCCAACCTCTAGCGGTCACCTTTACAGTCAGGGCATGGCCCCGGGAGCTTCTTAGGGCAGTCCCTCTTGAGGTGGCCTGGCTTTTGACAGCAGTAACAGATGAATGTAGTCGATGAGTTCTTCTTGGGGCCCCAAGAATCAGACTTAGGGTCTATTTCTCTTAGTGCTGCAACAAAGGTAGCTGTTTTTTTCTCAGTCTGTTTGTTTTCTCTCCTCGGCCTCCTCCTCCTCATGGCTATAAAATACTGAGGAGGCAATTATTACTAATATCTCAAGAGAGCAATCTGGGGCAAAAGCCATTTTCTGTAGCTTTTTTCTACTATTTGGGGCTGACTGAGTAATAAACTTCTCTGTAAGAATAGTTTGTCCCTCTACTGAACTGGGATCCAGGGAAGTATGCTTTATCAATGCCTCTTGTCTAAGAAAGCAGAGGGGTGTTCTTTCCAGCCTCCCAGCGCATTGGGATCCCGCAACCACTTAGTGTCCTCTCCCCAACCATCAACACAGGCGGCAGGAACATGTAGATGAAGTCCTCAGCCTGCTAGTCAGTCTCAGCACTATCAGGTGCAAAGTGTCCCAGGCAGGTAACCTGGACATGTACCTTCTCCATGAAGGCAGTTCTACAGAATCTGAATATTGGGCACCCATGTAATCCGTGAAGTCCTGGTGCAGCCCTCTCCGGGGCTCCACTCGCTCCTCTCCGCGGCCTGCACAGTTAGAGGAAGAACGGCCTCCAGGGCGTCTCCCGGGGTGTTGCGCAAGGTCCTCCTGGTCTCCAGCTCCCGAACGGCTCTCGTGTCCCCAGTCAGCTCGACCTCTGCGCCGTCGGGCGTGGGTGCCCTCGTGTTCTCCGAGTCCCTGTTCATCAGCTGCTCCTCCGCTGACTCTGGACCATTCTGGCTCTCAAGGGCAGGGCGAAGAGCACCCCGCCGTGAGGCATGTTTTCCCAGAGGTGTGGGCCTATTGTGTCAGTGCGTCTCTGTGGCATGGAAGGTTTTGACTGCACGGCGGTGGCTGGCCCGTGGGCCGGTGCACATCTCCACGCCGCTTCCCGGGAGCTTGCTGCCTGCCTTTCTAGGTGCCTGTGTGGCCGGGTGCACCAGGCCCTAAGAGGATCAGCTCTTTTTAGACTTAAAAAAGCATCCCAAGCTGGCTGCGGGGACAGCTGCAGGAAAAGTCCTCTACTCCTGTTCTAACCAGATTACTGCCAGGCCCCCTCTGCTGGCCCAAGTCTGGAGCAGCCCCTGTCCTCCTCCTGTGCTTTCCAAGACAGCAGCCCAAGCCCGGCACCCTGACAGCAGACCGGAGGGTGGAGCATGCCTTTCGGATACAGGGGTCCCATCCTGTGCGACTCTGCTTCCTTGAACCACAGCAGTGCCCTGGGTGCCTGAGCTCCACATGTTCCAGAGGAAGAACGTGGACAGGCTCAGAAGTGTTGAATAACAGAAATAGCTTCTTAAAACACTGTAGCTTTTCCTTCTGCTCAGCTCTCTCCACTTCCACCTCCTCTTTTATCCAGGAATTTTCAAAATAACTTTAGTAATGGTTGGGGCATTTATAATAGGTGTAATAAGATTTGGAAAGTGCTTTTTAAAATACTGTATTCCCTTTATTTCAATATATAAATGTAAAAATGTCTCTGTAAAGAGCCAACCTGCACTTACAGTGTCATTGCCAAATTAACGGACAATCATAATCCAAAAGTAATTACAGTCCGCAATAATTATAATAACCCCATCATGCTCTTCACATCCCAAGATTTGTTCTAATGAGAATCACTGTGGCTCAATTATACTTCACCAGCCTAGGTCAGCACACAGCTGCTCTCTGAGGCTCTTGAGTAGTCACATCACACGGCTTTTTTGAAAGGGTAGGGATAGTTTTCTTTATTAGCGCATATTAATTTACAAAATGCTGGGCTTCAATGTCATTTTTCATATGTATTTTTATCTTATTCTTCCTATCACCCTCCCTTCGTTCCTCTTCCCTTCTACCCCTTGTTCTTTTCTTCTTGTCTAATAATAATAGTTTCCCTCCCATTTTCCATCTTCTTGTCATTTTTGTTTCTGAGGTTCTACATGTTAGGGAAAACATAGCACTTGTCTTTCTGAGTCTGGCTTATTTTATGTAACATGATAATCTCTAGTTTCTTTCATTTTCCTGCAAATGATGACTTTACTCTTCTTTATTCTGAATAATACTCCACTGTGTGTGCGTAGGTCATATTTTCTTTATCCATTCATCTGCTGATGGGCACCCAAGCTGGCTGTATATCTTGGCTATCGTGAATTGTGCCATGATAAACATGGGTATGCAGCTGTCCCCATAGTCTGTTGACTTTAGTTCCCTGGGGTACACAACAAGGGGTGGGATAGCTAGGTCTGGTGGTAGTTCCATTTCTAGTAGTTTGTGGACCCTCCAGACTGATTTCCCTAGGGATGGTGCTAATTTACCTTCCCTCCAGCAACACAGAAGGACTCCCTTTCCTCCACTGCATCCTCCTTGGCAGTTATTTTCCATGTTCTTGCTGACAGCCCTTCTGACAGGGTGAGATGGAATCTCAGTGTAGTTTTGATTTGCATTTGCATTTCTCTGATAGCTAAAGACGTTCATGCACTTATTGGCCATTTGTACTTCTTTCAAGAAGTGTTTAATTCGTTTACACATTTATCGGTTGGGCTATTTTTTTTTTTAATTTTTACACCAAAGGTATTTAACAGACATTTGATCTTCTAATCCTGAGTGTGTTTCTCTCTCCTTCACCTTTAAAAAAGTATGATGTAGGGAATGCACAGGCATGAGAAAGAAGTACAAACTACTCTTCACATTTTTATAAAGAAAAGATAATTCAATTATGTTTGGGGTAATGGAAAATGGAGCCTTAGGCAAAAAAATTGTAAACTAGTTGACATTCCTTCATTAGCTAAAATAGGTGAAGCTTGAATCTTTGACTCCATCAATTTGAAAATAGCCTAAGGTGAGCAGATATTTTGGGTTGGCGTAGTGTGGATTTTTAAAGAAGTAACTCACAAACTTTGTTGTCTAATGAATGGAGCTGGGGTGAATCATACATTTCAAAGACTCTAAGTGTAGGGTACACTTTGTCTCTAGTAACCGGGTTAATTTTGTCAGTTCAGTCAGTTTCCTAATAAGGCTCCATAGACACAGTCAACAGAATCATGCAACATGGTACGAAAATCGTGTGCGTGTGCCCAAGCCCTACAACAAAAATAGTCTTAAGAATTGATGTTCTCTGTTTTTTTTTTTTTTTTTTTTTTGGCTTTTTCTCCGGTACCGGGAACTGAACTCACGACCTTGCGCTTGCCAGGCAGGCGCTTTTGCCGCTGAGCTAAATCCCCAGCCCCGAATTGATGTTCTCTGGATGAGGTCCACAAACAAACAAACAAAAAAAACACCACCGAAGAGCCCATGAGCGAAGCCTGGTGCTGGTCCACCACGGAGGAAGGGGCAGCGAGGGCACGTGCCAGGACTCTGAAGCACTGTGCTTGGAAATGCCTGTCCAGCAACAGAGAGAACCATTCATCCCCAAAAGACCAGGGTTATTTATTGTGAGCACTCTGAGCTCAATTTCCAGCATTGATTTTTTTGAGGCAGGCTGACACAAATCATTGCACCTAAGGCCTTCGGGCAAGGC